TGCCAATGGGAGGAACCCCCGGGCTCGAGGAGCCCTTGAGCACGGGGCTCTCTCCCGGGACAGCATGCCAAACAAGCTTTTATAAATTATCAGCTAAGTGTGAACTCTTGAAATTCTGTTATTATTTACGTCGATTAAAAAACTTAAGTAGGCCTAGGCTAATATAATAAAGAAAATCTTTTCTAAATGTAGAACTAAATACATTGATATGCATTGAAATACATGATGAATACTCTCAACACATGAAAGTGTAAAGCCTGCAGCTCACAACAAATGTGGCAAGTTATTGCGTATCATATTTAACAAACCGTTTACTGCTAATTTTACGTAATGCTGTGCCGTCAGCCAATTATTACATTGCTGATCATCCTTTCGACGATCGACAGATCTTTACTTCACAACACACACAGTGATCTCAGATCAGTTCATTCATTTTAATCTGATTTGCAAACTTGTTTGAAGAACCAAATTAGCCAGAGATCAGTTATCAAGACTAAAAGATCCAGGATCTGCCAAATCATATTAGATCATTTAAGTGAGGTACAAAGAACGGACTGCAGATGTTATTTGCTTCATGCAAAGAATCTATCAGGAGCCATACAGTATAAATAAGATCACCAGCATATTATTTAAACTTTGTTTTGTCGACTTGCAAACTCACTGCATGCTGACACCTCGGCGAAAGCAGCGGATGAGAGCGTGGCTAATTTTTCTGGTGTGCATATTTAAAACTAGAACTTACACCAGGAGTAGAGCAGTGCGTCAGTGCCAAGCAGGAGTGGTGCGTGAGGCGCATGGGTATGTTTTTTTTTTTCTGTGCACATGCTCAGTTTGCTTTTTGATTAAACTACATCGCCTTCATCAGCGTTGGTTTGGTTGCACATAGAGATTAATGTCTTTACTCTGGGATTATCACTCTTAATAAATACACTTGCATATAAAGTAAATCGTATCTCAAAGCATTTACTGGGGCACTGGTGGTTTTTACTGGGGCACGTGCCCCAGTAAATGGGGTCTAGCGACGCCCCTATCTGTGACTGACCTTTTTTTTAATCTTATTTTTTTCTTACTCCTCCAAGTGCAACTAACTCTGTATAGCTGTAAACTTGTACTGTGTGCACCATCTGTAAGTGCAGGCTGAAAAATGCGTGTGTAGTGTTATGCATAGTGTGTAAATATTATCAAGCACTTATCGAATTGTCATTATCAGTTTTTGAAAAAAATACATATTGTGATAATTATTGTTATCCAATTATGTCCCAGCCCTATGCTGGATAAGTTGGTGGTTCAATCCGCTGTGGCGACCCCAGATAAATAAAGGGACTAAGCAGAAAAGAAAATGAATTAATATTTATGTCTTACTTATTTGTCAATTTTCTCTAATTATTTAAATAATTTTCCTCATAATACTGTTCTCACTGTTAGCATTGCTCAAATGTCCAGTGCTGTGCTGTTTATATAAGTAGTAATATGTGCATAGTAATATGTTTTCATGTTTTTGAAAATGCTGTCACCAGGACCCGGATAAGCAGCAGATAATGGATGAATATACTTTACACTGTTTCACATGTGAGACACAAATATGATCTTACCACAGTTTCTCCAGTTTACAGCGAGGATCCTCCAATACAGCAGAGAGAAGAGTCACTGAATCTCCTAGTTTATTCCAGCACAGATTCAGATCTCTCAGGTGTTCAGGGTTTGATCTCAGAGCTGAAGCCAGAGCAGAACAACCTTCATCTGTAAGACCACAATTACTCAACCTGTAGAGAACAACGACACTCTTCACTCTCACACATCACAACAGTTCAGTGAATATATTATTAAAGTGTAAGCACAAACTAAAGCACGAATGAACATATTTGATGGATCATTAGTCTGAGGTCTAAAATGTCACAGAAAACAAAACATGATTATAAGTAGAAAGTTTTATTCAAGCGGGATAAACATCTATTCAGTAAGATAATAGCAAAATCATTGAAATAATGACACTGTTCACACTGTTAACATTGCTAAAATGTGCTGTGTTTATCAGTAGAAATATGTAAACAATCAGTAAAAATGGGATATTTTTTTTTTTTGTTTTTGACAAGTGTTATCTCATCAAAACAAAAAAGCTTTATTATTGTGAAATATTACTGCAATTTAAACAATTATTACTAATATTATTATCTTATTATTTTTCTTTAAAAATAATTAATTTCATTTATGAAGACACATTAATTAATTAATTAAAGCTTATGCTGCGTCCGAAACTGCATACTTCCATACTATATAGTACGCTATAATCAGTATTCGAGCCGAGTGGTATGTCCGAATTCATAGAAATCGAAAATCAGTATGCGAGAAGTACCCGGATGACTTACTACTTCCTGCGAGATTCAAGAGTACGCATCCCATGCACGCTGCGCTATCCCATGATGCCCCGCGAGCGAATATGAATGGGAGTAAAGCGACGCAATTGACGCAGGTAGGTCACGTGACCATGACAAAATGGCGGATGTAGTACGTCCGAATTCCATTCATACTTTTCACATTCATACTGTATAGAACGTACTTTTCTAACGGCTGAGTAGTACGTTTAAATTCTAATGCAGTACCTACTGAGTAGTAGGTGGTTTCGGACGCAGCCTTAGTGAAGTTTTTTAAACTAATTTCGAGAGGAGCACGATTGATAGGATTGACTACAGCTGATCCCTATCACTAATCGCTAACTAGCCAATCGGATCACTCTAAATTCAATATAAATATACAGCCTAAACTTCATTCCTCATCTTCGTTTTGGAAACCGCTCTGCTCCGCTCAACTTATCAGCAGCTACAATTCACAAGCTACCAGCTACAATCTACAAATCTACAACTTACAAGCTACAAGCTACTACAATCGACTACAAACTACTACAAACTACAAGCTACAATCCACAATCTATAGCAACAACATCAATTACTCATTCATTTATTATTTATCTGTTGCCATGTCAGCTACTAAGGCTATTTTCATGGCAAGAGCATTTCAGTAATTAACAAACATCAACAGTAAAAAATAAATAATTGCATATACAGTTTAAATAAGATTTTTCTGGTGTCACTTTGTTGAAAATGTCCTTAAGAGAGTTCTCATCATAAAAAGTCTTTCGGGAGTCATTAAAAGCAGGACAGTCTAGTAAAATGTGTTTTACGGTCCATGGGGTTTTACAGTGTAAACATTGGGTAGGGTTTTCATCTTAAAGTAAAAAGTTATGTGTTAATCTTGTATGTCCAATACGACATCTGGTAAAAATTACTTGATCAGCTCGTTTCTTAAAATGTCTTATACCCCTGTGTGTATTTTCAGGCTGGATTTTGTGTAATTTATTGTTTTCCAGAGTATCCCACACCTCTTGCCATTTGATTAAAATGTAATTGTTAATTAAAGGTCTCATCTGTGATGGAGATGTTTGACATTTGTTCACAGCTTGTTTTAGAGCAGCTTTAGCAGCTGCATCCGCTCGTTCATTCCCTGAAAGTCCAACATTTCCTGGTATCCAGCAAAATATGATATGGTAAAATTTGAGTTGTAGGTGGTGAACTTTAGTTAAAATATTTTCAATCAAGGGATGATCACTCTTTGAAGATTCCATCTGTTGAAGGCATGATTTAGAGTCTGTAAAAATAATGGTTTTCTTTTGTTGTGTATTTTCTATAAACTCCAATGATAAAAGTGGTGCGCAGGCTTCATCTGTGAATATGGAGCATTATTTTGGCAGCCTGATTCCATGACTTTGTTCCCGTCACCATTGCTGCTGCTACATTACTTTCCATCTTTGAGCCATATATATATATATATATATATATATATATATATATATATATATATATATAAATGTGTGTGAGTGTATATATACACATGTATATACGTGTATATATGTGTGCGTGCATGTATGCATGTGTATGTATTTATGCATGCATGGATATATGCCTATATGTATTATGTATTTATGCCCACCTGCACGCGGACATATACATTATTTTATAGTGCTGTCACCCCTAAGCTCTAGCTACCGCAAAGGCAGTCCCAGAGCTTAAACCCCCATTTTTTCTCTAGTCGGGAGTCTTCACTTGCCAAAATTCCTTTTTCCCTGTCTCCTGCTGGAACCTACTTTTGATAGCCCAACTCTCGAGCTGTGACTACGAGCACGAGTCAAGTCACTGCCCACCCTCCAGCCCTAGCGCTTTTTGCCTATTTTGTCCATTCATATATTATCTCCTGAGATCATCATCGGAGATAGAGTTCCCTCTGTTCTTGTCAGGGCTCTTACAGAGCCCGCATCTCCTCTACCTTTCTATTTTTTTCTTTCTCCTCAAATCACTATATCCAGCAGCCGGATACAGCAATTTCTAGCTTTTAGGGGGAGTTCTTCGAATACACGGCTGCTGTCCCGACACAATAGCATTTATGGGAAGCTATAGAGAACTACCTGATCTCATATCCCTCCTAATGCTTATTGACCAGGCGGGAGCCTTGGGCTCATCTATCACCGAGCTCAGGGTTCTCTTCCGGGACAGCATGCCAAACTTGCTTAAATAGGCAAGCATTATCTAAGTGTGAACTCTTGAACTGTAAATTATGGATTTTTCATTTGCATTTTATTTTTCATTTGAAATAAATCCTGTTATTTTCAACATTTCATTCATCAAATAAAGTCTTTCCAAAACAGGATTCCGGATTGACATTAATTAAAATTAGTTTATTAGGATAAAATAACTTCATGATCCTAAAACATGAGAGTGAATGTGTTGTTGATTGTGAGAGCTGAGATTGATATTAGTTAAAAGAAAACTCACATTATTTGATTTATACAATCAGCAAATTCCAAAGAAAGTCAAGCAAACATTGCTTCTACTGTATTTAATAAAATGTCTAACTACAGACAAAAACATAGAGAATGAAATATCAATTAAAGCGATATACATGCACTTTATATTCATATATTCTTGCGTGAGAGTCAAAGATGATCCTACCTCAGTGTCTCCAGTTTACAGTGAGGATCCTCCACTGCAGCAGAGAGAAGAGTCACTGAATCTCCTAGATTATTCCAGGACAGATCCAGTTCTCTCAGGTGTTCAAGGTTTGATCTGAGAGCTGAGGCCAAAGCAGCACGATCTTTACCACTGAGACCACAATCTCTCAACCTGTAGAGAACAACGACACAATCTTAACTCACATCAGTTTACCATGTACAAATCACAGTTCAAAACACTATGTCTACATTTCAACTGGAGATCACAGTTTGTGCTGATCTATATGACTTCATCTACCAGCCGTTGACCAATTATTAAAATGTCAGTATTTAAGCAGAGCTGCAGAGACAGAAACACTCTGTTTAATAAACCTTCCTGACAGCAGTTTTCTTTTGTTCTTCGTTTTGGCTTACAAAAAGTAAATAAAATATGGTGAGCAAAAATGAAGAAAATACTAAAATTCTTAATGACTGAGCTGTATAAATGTCCATGCAGTGCAGCTCGTAATCGCTCTAAAGCTCCTGTATGCACAGAAATAATCAGAAACAGCAGATGAGTAATGTGGGTTTAACGTTCACTGCGTCAGAATTTTCTGACTTTGACACTTCCATTTGTTTCTCGTGGGATACTTCAAAACGTGCATTAAACAGGGAAGTAAACAGAGCAGGTAATACTTACTGAACTGATCTACATTCTCTAATCATGGGCAGCAGCTTCTTAAAAATTAACAATTTTTCAGTTTTTTTGTATCCAACAACAAATTCATTTATATTAAACTCCTCCAGCTTCTTCTCTGATGTCAACAACACAAACGCTACAGCTGACCACTGAGATGAGGAGAGTTTGGCTCTGTTTATTCTTCCAGATTTCAGATACTGCTGTATTTCCTCCACTAGTGAATGATCACCCAGTTCATTCAGACAGTGAAACAGATTGATGAATTTCTCTGGAGAGTTGATGGTCCTGATCTTCTTCTTGATGTACTCGACTGTTTTATTATTCTGGATTGATCTGCTTCTCAGTTTCATTAGTCTTTGTAGAAGAATCTGATGAGACTCTACTGACAGACCCAGAAGAAACCGCAGGAAAAGATCCAGATGTCCATTTTTACTCTGTAGAGCCTCATTTACAGCTCGCTGATGCAGCTCAGATAATGAAACAAGTTGAGATGAATTTAAATACAAATGATCCTTAACTTTAGACCACAAACTCGGCTTTTTGATTTGCTCAAACTCATTTCTGTTGTTGTTTATACAGGAGAGGTGCACATATAGAGCCGCTAGATGTTCCTGAATGCTCAGATGAACAAAGCTGAAGACTTTCCCCTGATACAAGCCAAACTCCTCTCTGAAGATCTGAGTGCACAATCCTGAGTAAACTAAAGCTTCTGCCACATCAATGCCACACTCTCTCAGGTCTTCCTCATAGAAGATTATATTGCCTTTCATGAGCTGCTGAAAAGCCACTTTCCCCAGTTTGAGGATCATGTCTTCATCTGTCAGCTTCTCCTCATAGTCCTTCTGATGTTTGATGTTGGTCTGCAGGATCAGGAAGTGTGTGTACATCTGAGTGAGAGTCTTGGGAATCTCTGCAGTCTCTGCTTCACTCAACATCTTCTCCAGAACAGTGGCTGAGATCCAGCAGAACACTGGGATGTGGCACATGATGTAGAGGCTCCTGGAGGACTTGAGGTGTGAGATGATTGTGTTGGCCAGACTCTGATCACTGATTCTCTTGCTGAAGTATTCCTCCTTCTGAGGATCATTGAAGCCTCGTACCTCTGTCACTCGATGGACACACTCAGAGGGGACGAGATCTGCTGCTGCTGGTCTGGAGGTGATCCAGATGAGAGCAGAGGGAAGCAGATTCCCCACAGTCAGGTTTGTCAGCAGCACGTCCACTGATGATGTTTTGGTCACATCCCTCAGAGTCTTATTCCTTTTGAAATTTAAGGGAAGACGACACTCGTCCAGACCATCAAAGATAAACAGCACTTTATATTTGTCACTGGATATTTCCATTTCTTTAGTTTGAGGGAAAAACAGCTGAAGAAGATCTGACAGACTGAGTGTTTTGTCCTTCATCAGATTGATCTCTCTGAAAGGAAGTGGAAATATGAGCTGGACGTCCTGATTCTCCTTCTCTTCAGCCCAGTCCAGGATGAACTTCTGCACAGAGACTGTTTTTCCGATGCCAGCGACTCCCTTCGTCAGCACAGTTCTGATGGCTTTGTCTTGTCCAGGTAAAGGTGTAAAGATGTCTCTGCATTTGATCGCTGTATCTGTTGTTGATCTCCTGGATTGTGTCTCAATCTGTCTCACCTCATGCTCATGACTGATCTCTCCACTCTCACTCTCTGTGATGTAGAGCTCTGTGTAGATCTCATTCAGGACTGTTGGGTTTCCCTGTGCTGCTGTTCCCTCATACAGACACTCAAACTTCTTCAGCAGATTTGATCTAAATGTGTTGAGGGCTTCATGGCTGTAAAATTATAAAAGTCCATTATTACAGTTAATAATCAAAAAGCCTTTTCTGTATCATAATCATCATCATGTAACCTTCACATAATTGTTTTACCTGAGATCAGTCTCTGTGTCTCCACTCCTAACATGTAATGGCTGATGCACAGATTTATCATTGCTCCTCATAGACACACAGCTGGACTCTGATTCTGTGCTTTTCTGATGAACTGAACTAAAACAAACAGAAATAAAGGTTTAATTCTCAAAATATCATATTCCACAATTTACTGCACATATTAATGTATCTGTAAAAATCCTTACAAAAAGAACAATTTATGTAATTATTTTAAAACTTATTAAAGTTACAATGTTCATACAGAAACTGTGAAGTTGAACTAACTACTTTCATGTGTCGTCCTACTGTATGAGCAACACTATATTTATATAGACATTATTGAAAAGATAAAAAATAACGACCACAATAGTCAACAAACATTTTTCATATCTTTCATAAATTACTACTGATACTATTCTGAATACATAAACAGCCATACTCTAATTAAATATTAAATCATATACCTGAGATCAGACTTTGTGTCTCCACTCTTAAAATGAATTGGTTGATCCATCGGTCACTCCTCATAGACACACAGCTGGACTCTGGATCTGGTCTCTTCTGATGAATTAATCTATAACAAAGAGAGATGGTCATGTTTTGAGTTACTGAATTTTAATAAATAATTTATCTTAAATACATTTTAATCAACGCTTTAACATTTTAGTGATTAAATAGTTACAGAGAACATAGCACAAAGGCGTTTCATAGATGAGTATGAAACAATGTCATATAAATATAAGTTAAATGTTATACGTGAGATCAATCTGTATATCTTTACTCTTAATATAAATTGGATGATCCCTGGTCACTCCTCATAGACACACAGCTGGACTCTGGATCTGATCTCTTCTGATGAACAGAACTATAACAGAAAATAACAGACCAATTTATCTTAATCACTTTAATATTAAAATAAAGTTAATAACGTTTTTAAAGAAGCTGTTTTATTTCCAACGGTAAACTATACATAATCTGGTCTGCATTTGTACATTAGCTTCACAGTAGTTTTCTTTCCTCTATTACTTGTGTAATTAAACTCAAAGTACCTGCATCCTGGAGAAAATGTTGGTCTCTGGATATTTGTGTGTCGTCCATTATGAAACAGGATCTGATCTGCGCCACTGATTGCATAGAAAAGACAAATAAACAATAGTTCAGCTGTTCGAGTACCGAGTGTCGATGAGCAGAAAATAAACCAGGTTAAAATACTTTAAAATGAACAATTTTACAAACATATCGAGAAATCACGTCTAAAATTCACAGGACGGTCTCAGAGCAAACTGCATTTCAAGGAGAAACACAAACTAGAGCAGGCTAACTCAAAATGTATTTTAGTTCAATAAGGTTTACGTAAACACTTTGATAAACATAATATATTAAACACATATAAATCATATTTACATTCTTACAAAAGTAAGAAGTCGCTGTTTCTCGTTTCACTCACCATCAACTTGTTATAAACCGTAGGCCTGCGTTAAAACTGAATTGATGGAGTTATAATAATCCTCTGCCTTTCAAGTAGCTACACGTAACTAAACTCCTGGTTTGCTGTTATAAAAGTTCATATGAACTAGTGTGATGCGGCATAATGTAGACAAATAACGGATCGACTCGACGAATCAACTGCGTTCCCTTTGTATTTGTGACGTCGGGAGGGTGACGCCACATTACGCACAGTGGTTAGGCACAATTAACTAAAGTTAGGCATTCACTTCCAATTAAAGATTAAAAAAAGTTTCAGTTAGCCAAACTATGGAAGCCCGTTCCCGCCACTGAATAAAAAAAAGAAAAAGAATTAATAATAAAAAAAAAAATTAATGATAATATAAAGAAAATTTAAAAGTCAGAATTCTGAGTTAATAAGTCAGAATTCCGAGTTATAAAGTCAGAATTCTGAGTTATAAAGTCGCAATTCCGAGTTATAAAGTCAGAATTCCGAGTTATAAAGTCAGAATTCTGAGTTATTAAGTCGCAATTCCGAGTTATAAAGTCAAAATTCTGAGTTATAAAGTCGCAATTCCGAGTTATTAAGTCAGAATTCGGAGTTACAAAGTCGTAATTCCGAGTTATAAAGTCAGAATTCCGAGTTATAAAGTCGTAATTCTGAGTTATTAAGTCGCAATTCTGAGTAATTAAGTCGCAATTCCGAGTTATTAAGTCAGAATTCTGAGTTATAAAATCGTAATTCTGAGTTATTAAGTCGCAATTCTGAGTTATTATGTCAGAATTCTGAGTTTATATCTCGCAATTCAGAGAAAAAAGGCTTATCTGAGTCTTATCTGTATGGCATGGAAGTAGGTTACATCGCTGGACCTTCTTATGAAGGCTATAGCCTAAATGGAAAAGATTATAGAGGATTATTTTTGGTGCGGTTTTACTAATAGAGAAATCTTAATTTTATTGGAGGAATCACACAACATAAAGTTTAGTTTGCGGACTCTTGAGAGAACGTCATGTATGAATCAGTTGTGGCGGAAACGCAATAAAACAGACGAGGCCGACGTGGCACGTTTTATACACCAACAGCTACAGACATCGGGACGACAACATGGATATCGTTGGATGCACCAGAAATGTTGGCTTTCTGGCATTATTACAGACAGAGAAACTGTCCGTCAGTTGATGCGGCTGTTAGATGGACAGGGAGTTGACCTGCGCGCTCGCGGTCGTCTGCGGCGACGCATGTATAACAGCCGCGGACCAAACTATGTTTGGCATATTGACGGGTACGACAAGTTGAAACCTTACGGAATATGCATAAACGGATGCATTGATGGGTTTTCCAGAAAAATGATCTGGCTTGAAGCATACAAAACGAACAATGACCCACGAGTAATTGCGGGTTATTTCATACAAGCTGTTGCTGAGAATAACGGATTTCCACATAGAATTCGCATTGACCATGGAACTGAAAATACGCATTTAGCAGATATGCAGACATTCTTCAGAGGCACTGCTAGTGCCGAATCTGTCACGCTTGGTCCAAGCACGGGGAACCAGAGAATTGAACGATGGTGGTCCACTTTGAGAAGTCAGTGCATACAATTTTGGATGGATCATTTTGAACAGCTAAAAGAAGATGGGCACTTTGTTGATAGTTTCATTGATAAATCTCTCATCCAGTTTTGTTTCCAGCATTCTATACAGGTAACATTTGGTTTACTATAGTTTATTTAATCATAAAAACAATATTGCCGTTAAAGATTAACTTAATATTTACATAGCCTACAATATGCAGTTTACAGTGTGTTTATTAATTTAATTTTGTTGCTTTTATTTTATAAAGGAAGAGCTTGATGAAATAGTCAGTGCCTGGAATTGCCACAGGATACGGCCAACTCACAATCCACGTGCTCCCAGTGGTCGACCTTCAATAATGTTTGCTGTTCCCAGCTTATATGGAGTGCAGAATTTCTTGCATCCAATTGAACAAACAAAGCTGAGTATTTGCAAAGAGGAGTGTTTAGTTAAAGACTACCCTTGTGATGAGGATGTCTTTCAACTGTGCGTAGAACTGATGGATGAACATAACCTTGCATTGTCAGATGATGTTTATGAAATTACAGACCTTTACCTTAAGCTTCGTGAACTAATCCTTGAAGGACTGGACTTGGATGACTAGATGCACCATTGAGATCTTATCTACAACTTTCACTAGAAGGTAAAGGTATTGTACACACACACACATACACACACACATACACACACACACACACACACAATATTATCTGTGAGCATTATTTGAAACACTTCTATTGTGCTTTTTTCATGCAAGTCTCAAAAGAACTCTCTGAGGTTAAAATCTCTGCAATTCCCACTTTACTTTCACTGTGCTGTGTCTGTCTATCAAGATAACAGGTGAGCAGGATTTATATTTCACTTTATTATTATTTGGCTTTAAACATGAATATGTTAATGAATTTTGTTACCATTATGCCCCAGACTCAAAAAGTCATTACATCTTTAATTATGAAACTGATAACAAGCCAGTTGTCTAAATGCCATAGTGTATAATTTAAGGGCATAATATTTAAATTGGGATTGCCACTGACATGTCATATTTTTATATGAAAAAAATTCTATAAACAAAACATTAACACAATGCCATTATTGATACAACTGGAATTGTATTTTTTTCTGCATCACAGTTGTGTTACAACTTAGCTGCATTTAACAGACATGTCAAATAACATTGCTTTTTTATGTACTGGGGCACATAAACAGCATGCAAAATGCTCACAGCAAACAAAGAATAATTTTAAAACATGAATTCTTCGTTACTAATGAATGAATGACACATCTGATGTATCTTCTGTGCCACTGTGGCAATCGAAGGATGTATTTTATTGATGCTGATTGTATTTGATTAGTAACAGCCCTATCTTCTAGGGTTATGGGATTAATGTACCTTTACTCTACATACTATAATGGAACAACTGTTTACATCCCATCATTTTCATACACGCTTCAGGATCCCTTGTCTGTCAGACACAGTGCTCAAAGTACAGTAAATAACCTCTAATATAATTCTTTATGATGACACACAATCACAGTGATGTTGCTTTGTGTTTTCAGAAGGAATGAATAATTTGTTCCAGACCATCCCATCCTCATGTGCAAAAGAAGGCCAGCAAACTTAGGTAGATGAGATAATAAAAGTGCATCAAGATGCACTTCACACACAAAAAAAAACTTTTTTATGACTACTTTTTTAAATGACATCTTTCCCAACTACAGTAATGCACATTTTTGCATGATTTCAAACACTTTTGTGGTGCTCTATTAATACTTTTAGACCTAACCTGAATGCAATAGAAACAGAGGAAGTGAGTTTTAGAAGTATTTTGTTACTCAAAAGTAAAATAATTTTGTTTAAACTGTAAAGCAATAGTACTGAAATTTTTCAAAATGTATAGAATTTTCATTTGTTTCACCTTAGGAATATAAAGGGGATGTATATTTAAAACATAAACTAAAGGGTTTAAATGGTAAACTGTCTGTATTTTGTGTTATACCTGAAATAAAGAACTGAATTTGTAATAGTATTTTTATTATTAAATTTTCAACTTTGTAGTAGTACATTTTTGTTTCAAACAAATGCTCGAACAGTATTCCCAATGTTTTTCCTATACATGCTTAACGAACCTGTAATCATTTTAACATGGTACACTGGCTGTCAGGTTTTGTGCACCACTACAGAGCTTTAAGTGAAATTGATTTTAAAAGTTCAAAGTTTTTTTTTAATTAAAGCAGACTTTGATGAGCAATTTATTTATTGGCCAATAAAAAATGCAATGCTGAAATGCAAAAATTTATATGGGCTGAATATAAACAAAAAAGTAAATTTAGTTATGTTCTACTTAATTTGTTTGTTTAAATTCAGCCTAAACAATTTGTTTGCAACCACTTTTTGTAAATCCAATAAATCATTTTTTTTTCAGTGTAGTAGCCTACTCACTCCATCTTGAATTCTCAAAAAAACATGGCACAATATATGGAGGTTGTGTTGTTTAATGTATGAGTACTTAACATTACAATGTGGTACAAGAAAAAATAAAACAAACCACATTAAAACTATTTTAATAAAACAATGTTATAAAATTGTTATGTATTGTTGCAATAATGCAACACCCAACTGTATAGAAACACAAACTTAAAAGGATAGTTCACCCAAAAATGAACTTGTCAATTTCCTCACTCCTTGAACTTGTCAAATAATGGTAGAGCGTGTACATGTATGAAAAAGGAACCATTAAAACATTTGGACAGTTCCAAGCCTATTTGACTGAACAGTTGAAATTAACAATTTAATGATTTAACTCAAACATTTGGTTGCACCTATTTTTTTTTAATCAAATCTCAATCATCAAAAAAAAAAAAACTCAATCATCAAAAATAATAAAGGTTGGTCTGCATTCAATGTAACCAGCAATATGTAAGTGCAAAATTAAAGGGAATGATTTACTTTCTGTATACAGTGTGAATTAACTGTATGAAGTGTAATAAGAATGACAGAAAACAATAGCTTGCATAGGAGCTGGCCACAACTCAGTTCCGACTAAATCCACTAAACTATGTCCATGACCCAGATGTTGCTTTCAAGGACTTTGTTCATTTCAGATCTGAAATCAGGGTAGTTGTCATAGTGCACTGAAAGCCTCAGAAAACAGCCACATGTGTGCGCCACTGGTCTTCTCTCAAACCCTTTAAGGTCTGTGAAATCAACTGTTATAGCTTTGCCTATAAACAAATCTGATCCAGTACAGAATCGAAGAAACAGAGACTGCCGTTTTGCATCACACTCCCTCAAGTAAGTTGTCAAGTGCTTTGAAATGTCCTTTTGCTGTACATTCATTGTTTCAGGAAATTTGAGAGATTGCACAATTTTCCTCACTGTTGGTTGTAATGCACAGTACACATCTTCAATTTCCTCAAGGTCCTTCCTCAGAGGTCCAAGTATGCATGCCCACTGTTCAAGAACATAAGCAGGCTCTTGAATGAGAGTTTTGTGAGCCAGTTCTTCCAAAATTTGCTTGAAGTTTTCATTTGTTGGAATTCTTCGACAACTGTAGTTGTCTAAGGTCTCAAGCAATTCCTCCTGGTCTGCACTACAGAAGTCTTTTCTGCAGCTTTCTAACAAAGCACACTCGTTTTCTGAGACATACTTCAAAAAGTTCTCAATCAGATCACTTTTCACAGATCCCTGTATTGCTTGCTGGAGGATGACAGGTGCAAGTTTT